GAAGGACCCTCTTGAAGAGCCTTTCAAAACCATCACTTTACCCTACATTGCGGGGATCACAAAACATATCTCCAAAATCTTGAATAAACACAAGATCCAGATCCGATTCATCACATTACATAAAATCCGTGAATTTTTTATTTGTTTTATTGTTTCCCTTCTACGTGACTTTACCGAAAGAACCAAGCATATGAAAGATATGTTGTTACAACATGCATGCTTTTTATAGCATGGAGGACATTTCCCAGGGCGAATACTCTGTCTAGCATGGATACCTTGTCCAGCATGAAAATAATGTACATCATAAGTACATTGTACAGCATGGGTACATTGTATTGCATGGATAAAGTGGGTATAATAGCATGGCCAACTGATGACGGGTAACACAAACAAGTTCTGCATATGAACAAAGAAAGGTAAACTATTGCAGATCTTCAAAGTATCTATTAAGCCAGGGCCTGCTCCTGGTTAAAATAAATTGTCCAGGCATTGATATAACAGCGGGAAGAAAATAAGTCCCATATTGCTTGAGAAAACCTTTGTAGATTTCTGAATGACAATTTGAGACTCATTAAATCCATTGCTATTCTAACTTTCTTGATTTGAAGCTTTCGTGATTGCAGGAATCCATACTCTTTGGTTCTTTCGATACAGTCACGTAATATTATTGTTTTATTTTTCTACCTACGTGACTTTACCGAAAGAACCAAAGAGTATCTCACTTTCTTGTTTTATTGTCTCCGTAATTGGCCTCTCTGGTCGAAGACACTCATTTAAAAATATGGCTAGTCCTTTGTTTTTCTCTTTTATTTGCTAAGAACGACAGAGTATTAACTGGGCTCTTTCTGTCATTATTCATTCTTACACAGTTACCTATTTGTAGAGAAATAGTCAACTCGCCATTGCAGATGCTACTTATATAATGTTAATTGAGCAATGACCAAAGCACCCACAGCGGACCTGATCTCACCACATCTCGGAAGCTCAGCAGCGTTGAACCAAGATACGTGCTCGGATGTGTGACCACAGTTTTACAAACATGTTACATGCAATGCAGAAGACCCACTGCCCGAAATGTCGCATATACTATATATTTTTCAACGGTTTTATTTAACTTGATTCCTCTGTTTGTCTGTCGTGGTCAAATCTTGTAATCAAAATTTCGTCCACTTCCCGTTGTCCAATCGATCCCAATTTTTTTTTTACATTTAAACCAAGTATTATTTATAACTACTTAACCCGAGCTGTTGATGCTTTGGCGTTTGCATCGTCCTTGTTTTGTTCGTATTTTGGCGTCCTTTGGTCTCGCACGGGCGAGAGACAAAGCCATACAACATTCACACATAATTATCAAAGCATATTTATTTTAAAAATAAGTTTTTTTTACCGCAAATACGCGTGGTTAATCCAGACTGTATGCCTTGTGATAGGTGTCTAATTGGTGTTTGAACATCTTAACACCTCTTGTATAATTGTCAATGATGAATGTTTGAGTTGTTGTTTTGTTTGTGCCGTGCACCAATGTCCACTCAGCAGCAGCATCACCAAACAGTGTGCTACACACAGCAAGCGGTTACGAGCTGTGTGGGCGCTGCATTGTGTGCGCAGTGCACAGTAGTGCAGATGCATCCGTTGTTTGTACTGTACTGCTCTATGCTCCCTACTTTCACCAACCCGGTCAAGTATGTTCAAATAACCTCCACGACACGCGCTGCGTGGGTAGGCTCTCATCCAGCAGTGGAATTACAACAAAAAGGCTGGACATGTAAACATATAGGTATAATTTATGTAATCACCAGAAGATAAAATATTGAGTTGATTTAACGTGGGTACAGCCAAAGACCACGACGCCACGGCTCTCGGTAACTATCTTCTGATATTCTGGCAGTCTCGTTGATCTGGCCGTGTATTTGCAAAGCAAAGAGCATCCGCCTGCCTGATTAAATGACTCGGGTTGACTTTGCAAAAGAAAGGGATTAAGGGGCACAGACGGATCCAAACAAGGGATGCCAGGGATGATAAACCAAATAACCCATTAGCAAATGTAAATCTACAGGCTGGAGACTTCAAAATGTTTGTTCGGAACACAAACTCGTGTGTTCTAATGAAAGGCGCACTACTGACCAATAGAGCTTGTTTTTGGAAGCATCATGTGCCACAAAAGATAACTTAATGAAGTGGCTTATCACGTAGAAAAATATAGCAGCCAAAATACTCTAATACTCACGTTAATTATACATGTGGAGGGGAAAACCGGAGGACCCGGAGAAAAATCCACACCACATGGAGAGAGAGAAATGCAAACTCCAAATATACAGGTGTCAGGGTCCGGGTAGAACCCTCGACCTCCTGTCTACCAAGCGAGGAAGTAAACCATGACATATGTATTCACCATGTGAACTTATTTGCTTGCAGCATGAGATTTCCTTTCCAGAAATGTTTTTTTTAACCAATATTTGAATCGCGGTCAGAAGCGGATTGCTTCACTGTTGTGTTTTTTTGTGACAGTTTGTTGAATCATAGCGCATCTAGTGGCTGCAGGGGTCACGCGGACTAATTATACAAAATTACATTCAGCAACAAAAATAGATTCCTGCACACGTTTTGTCACACGCATATCCTGAGCTTAAGAATCAATATTGATGGCTATATATCAATGCATTGTTAAACCACCGAACTTATACAAGGAAATGCCATATAAGCGCACCCACTGTATGTAACACAACACCGGTGGCCGCTCGACTTTTAATAAAATTCCGTGCAAGAGCAAGACAATGGGAGATATCAACTGTGATGCAAGTCAACTAAACTTCCGTGAAGCAATGCTCTCTGTTTTGACAATAAGCGAAAATGAATGCACGTGATATCTTTGTTTTGAAGGCAACGCACACAAACACAAAGACGGGCCAGGCAGGCGTGCGCACGCAGAATCTATTTTATGTTGATTAGGACCCAGATAGTGGAAAATTGCCTCTAAGCTTGCCAACAAAACAGCAATCCAATCCCGATATGATCCTCTCACCCACAGCTCATGAACAGTCGAGTTCCTCCGGTCTTCAGTAAATTTCAGTTACTTGATACGACGGTGTTTTTTTTTTTACGTGCATCTGCACGCCAGCAGAAGGGCATTATCGGGTTTTTTTCTAGTCGTGCAGAAGACATAGCAACATCAAAATATTATGTGAGCGCAAGCCCTGTGCGGCGCGCACATTTATTTACCAAACGAAATGCCAAATTGTAAAACACCGGAAACATTCAGATTAAAAGCTGCCTGCAGTGACATGTTGCTGTCGAATCTCCGCGCCGCGATGGGAGCGAGACGGTAACGTGTGAGTGCGTGCATGAGCATGGATCAGGGACCATCAGCATGTTTTGAATGTTTTGGGAATGGGCCATCGAAACCACACACAGCCTCTGACGTGATGCTCGGCTTCGTTGTCAATGCCTTAAACCCCTTTCACAATTTTTCACGTGATTAGCTCATAATGATGGGTCCTCAAATTCAGGCCAACTCTCAGGTGGGGTTGACTTTTTCTTTTTAAGTGTCAGTGTTTTCAGAATTTTCGTCCAGCCTTTGAACAACAACAACGATTTTGATATAATCCAAATGTGCGTGGAGTGATGGTGCGGTGGTTCGAGAACCTGGACACCACCCACGGCGAAAATTCACGGCTAACATCAGTGGCGGGTGATCCCTCACCTAGTGCTGGGGTCAATCACTTCACCCCACGCTGACCATCGTGGTGAAGTATGCTCAAACAACCCCGATGACTGACGCAGTGTTGGGACGCCTTCATCCAGCGGTGAATTCTAAATGCAACAACACCTCTCGACTGTCGAGGCTATATAAACATTACTCTTCTTGACTTTAACACACTTAACCCTTGCAATAGCTGACTGACACGGACAATTATTTAATGTCGGTTAATTATATTGCTATTATTTTATTTATCTTTCGTATGTGATTTACTTTACATGTTGTGTAAGTAAAAATCGGTCATTCCCATTAGAAAAAATCGAATAAGATAACAACAATCAGCGGCTCATTTGAGTGGTGGCGTTGTGCATTTAACTTAAGTTTGTGTTATTTCCCCACTTAAAATACACGCGTGCAGCCGTTCACTCTTTGCCTGGCTCCTGCCCGTGTCCCCTGACCATGCACCTGCCCAATGAAAGATCCATATATGTACGTTGAACTTCTTTCGTACATAGCCAACCGTGCTAATCGGAGGTGCGGTGGAAGGACACCAAACTAAACACAAAAAGCAGTTCGAAAGAAATGAGTTTTCAAGCTAGATGATTTAAAAGTTAATTGCTCAAGTGGCTTCCTAATATCGGAAGGAAGAGCGTTCCAGACGGCCGCAGAAGCGCATCTGAATGCGCGCGATGTGGTCACCGTCTTTGGTCGATGGCGAGCCAGTAGCCACTGCTGCGAAGATGACCGGGGTTTGCATGATGGTTCATGCTCCTTGACGAGATCAGCAAGGTGTTGTGATTCATTTGCCTGTTGATGACACCCGATTTAAGAGCTTCTTGGCTCACAGGGTCATTCAAAAGAAACTGAAACTTTCAGATGCGCATCAAACAGCCGTCTGGAACGCTCTTCCAGTCCGATATTAGGCAGCCGCTGGAGCTATGCACTTTTAAATCTAAATTGAAAACTAATTTCTTGAGAACTGCCTTTTGTGTTTGGTTTGTTGTTCCCCCCGCCCCTCCCCGCACCTCCTATTAGCATGGTTGGCTACGGTGCGAAAGAAGTTCAAGATACACAATGCTCCTCTGTGGCCTGACACCATTAGCCTCGTGTTGTCACAAGGGATCCTCATTATCACAGAGGCTGATAAGTCCACCTAAGCAGCCGTGTGCAAACACATGGCATCGTCATCATCATCACCGCCGTAATAATTAATCTGCCATTGTTGGGCTCTGGTGGGACACGAGACCTGGAGTTGTTGTTAACGGGCAGCCTAAGCTGGTTAATCGTCACAGATCCATCATGCACGCCATCCGAGAGACTGCCGGGCACAAGTGCGGATATAAAAGAGACGATCGCCGGACATCTCCACGGCCGGTCCGCCTTCTCTGTTCCCCCGACAGAAGCCAGTTGTTTGGAGCCCGCGGCGCGGGGGAAGCGATTTCAAGATGCAGCGGAGCGAAAGCAAGGAGATCCTTAAAGACGACGCATACGTAAGTCGCACTCCTCCCCAGCGTCGCTGACGGGTTGTCGCGTTTGTGTCGTTGGCGTGACCTTTGGGAGATTTCTTCTCTTCCGCCACGGTCACTCGAAGGAGATCGGTGCGCTCCGTTTAAGAGGTGCACGCGTGCAGGTGGCCGGGTGTCGCGAGGGTCAGAGGACCGAACCAGAGTCGCTGAGATGCTGCGTTTGAATTTGTGGGTTTTCAGCCATCGCGCCACTAAACCGGGCTCTCAAGTTGCGCCGAGTTCACGATTTCAGCCATCGCCAAGTTAATGATAACATTTGTCCGTGGCATTAATATTGGTTTTGGACTTAATTTGGCAAGGCTTCAGTTTGGGTGAGACACACCATGGTCGCTTTGCCGGGGCATGAAGAGGCCGGCTGAAGTAACTTACGAAGAAGTTCTTGCGAGTTTTTATTTTCTGTATCGAATGAGGCTGTTCTCTGACACAGGGCGATGCACTGCTAGCTGCAGAGTTCGGAATGGAAATTGAAAATTGATCTGTCCCATGATTTGACGCCTGTAGAAAGATTTGAATAAAATGAATTATTAAATCTACCTCATAACGCAGATTACAAAGATATCAAGAGCATTATCATCATCTGTCCAGCTGTACACCTTTTGGCGTCATCTGGTCGAGCACCAATTGAGTCGAGGCTCAAAAGAAAGCCGTCCCTTGGTGTGGACCAATCAGTTTCAAGGTCAATGCATATATTATCATAGTATGTTTTTGTTTGCATTTTGACTGCAGGTATTGTGGTTAATGCAGACATGAATCCGTGTAAAAAGGTTTCAGTTTTAAATTTTGATTTAAAGCTTTCGTGACTGCAGTAATTCATATTCTTAGTTTTTTCGGTAAAGTCACGTTGAAGAGAAACAACAAAATAACAAAATATATATAAAACAATAAAAAATTCTCACGACGTTTCGACCATAACTCAAACGGTCATCATCAGGTGTGTCGGTTTGCATAAATTTATTTTGAAAACGGCATATTTATTTATATATATATAAAAATAACGTTTGCGTCACGCGCAACGATGGCAGTTTGCCAGGACTAGTCCATCTATTTTTTGAAAAGAGGAGGGGGGAGACGAAATTTGTTTTTATGTATGCTGTCTGAAAGGCACTGTAAGCGTGAACAATCAATCAAGAAGTGAAATGATTTATCAAATCTTTCCAATGATTGCTAAGATAGAATCCATCTTCTCGGTTGAAATTGTCTCTGTGTTTGTATATGTGGATAGCCTCATGAACGAATCTCTCATGGAAGCCAGATGGCTTACAAAGAACCTCCGTCTTGGAAAAGTCAATGGCATGTGAGCCTACTGAATTAGAACAATGATCTGCTACGGCCGAGGTGTTGGTCCTACCGTGTTTAAGGTCTGCTTTATGTTCACGAATGCGGTCCGAGATATGGCGTTTGGTTTCTCCAATGTAACTACTACCACAGAGGCAACTTAGTTTGTAGACACCAGGGTATTGTATGTCCGGAATCACATCTTTTACAGACGGAACCAGATCACGGATTTTATGTAATGTGTTGAAACGGACCTGGATCTTGTGTTTATTCAAGATTTTGGAGATCTTTTTTGTGATCCCAGCAATGTAGGGTAAAGTGATGGTTTTGAAAGGCTCCTCAAGAGGGTTCTTCTTCATGGTTTGAGTGATAGCTTTGCGGATTGTATAGTCGGAGTAACCATTAGCCCTAAGAGCTTGGTGTACGTGCTTGAGTTCACTGCTTATGTGTTCCTGGTCGGATATGCATTGGGCTCTATGATACAGAGTCTTGATGAGAGAATTCTTCTGTGATGGATGGTGGTGGGAATCCGGTTTCAGATAAGCATCCGTATGGGTAGCTTTCCTGTAGACAGAGTGGCTCATTGAACCATCAGGTCTCTTTTTAATTAGGACATCCAAAAAAGGTATCTTGCCATCTATTTCGACTTCCATGGTAAATCTGATGGCTGGGTGTATGGAATTGATGTGGTCGAAGAATTTGTCTAGAGCAGGCCGGCCATGTGGCCAGATGACAAAAGTGTCATCCACGTACCTCTTCCATAAGGTTGGGCGCAGAGTGGCAGTCTGGATGGCGTCAGTCTCAAATTTCTCCATGAAAATGTTAGCTATAACTGGAGAAAGGGGGGAGCCCATTGGGGTGCCCTCAGTTTGTTTGTAGAAAGTTCCATTCCAAGTGAAGTATGTATTGGTTAAACAGTGTCTCACCAGGGGGGGTACCTCAGTGTTTAGTCCTTGATGAACCAAGTCTTCAATGATTGCAATGGTGTCAGGTACAGGAACCTTGGTGAATAAGGAAACTACATCAAAACTGACAAGCAGGTCGTCTGGGGACAGGGAAATACCCTTGATTGTTGATACCAGGTGAGTAGAATTTTGTACCGCAGAGGTGGTCTTTCCAGTGAAAGGACGCAGGATTTCAGACAAAAAACGAGCTAGTTTGTAGGTGGGGGAGCTGATAGTAGAGACTATGGGACGAAGAGGTGTATCAACTTTATGTATTTTTGGTAAGCCGTATAATCTTGGTGGCCTGGCAGCAGAAGGTTTCAACGAAAACTGTTTAGATTGATCAATTAATGCGGTTGAATCAGAAATTATTTTGTTGGTTTGTGTGACGAGGCTGTTGGTGGGATCTCTTTTTATTTTTGTATAACTACCATCGTCGAGTAATTCTTTAATTTTGTTGTTGTATTCTATTTTATCCATGATAACAGTAGCATTGCCTTTGTCAGCTGAGAGAACTACAATATCATTCCTCTTTTTTAATTTATATAATTCAAAACGCTCATCTTTGCTGAGGTTGCTAGCTGGCATCTTAGCGTTTTTGAGGGTTGCAGCGATTTCAGATCTTGCTACGTCTGCAGCGATGTGACCCAGGCCCCTGAGAGCAACGTCTACTTGGGCAATTATATCATTAACTGGTATGTGTTTAGGTGTGACTGCAAAGTTTAGACCTTTAGCTAAAACGGATTTCAGACCATCGGAAATAGAACTGTTACTGCGATTAATTACGACTTTATTAACGTCTAACTTTTTGGTGTGTGGGTCCGGTCTTTTGTTTAAGAGGAGGTTAAATTTGGAAATCAGGTTTTCCTTACATTTGGTCGACATAGTAGCAGCTGAAGAGGCAGTCATATTGTCTACATGTTCCCAATCCGATGTGGACATTATTGCCGTCAATGATAAGTGTGATTTGTAGAGTGTCTTGTCTAACTGATCTAGTTCTGTGCGTATAAGTCTGATTTTTTCTGAGATAAGAGCTAAGCTAGTTTTGAAAAGAATTCGTTTCGCATTAGAAGAAGTTACAGTAGCAGAGGTGAGTGTAAATGCGATTGGTATTACCCCAGAGTCGCGGCATCTCTTCAGGAAGGTGAGAGACTCGATCAGCTGAGCTTTCTTATCCCGGAGTTTGTTGAAAGATCTTAAAGTTATGTGAAAACCCTCCCCGTAGAGGCGATTAAATTTTGATTTAAAGCTTTCGTGACTGCAGTAATTCATATTCTTAGTTTTTTCGGTAAAGTCACGTTGAAGAGAAACAACAAAATAACAAAATATATATAAAACAATAAAAAATTCTCACGACGTTTCGACCATAACTCAAACGGTCATCATCAGGTGTGTCGGTTTGCATAAATTTATTTTGAAAACGGCATATTTATTTATATATATATAAAAATAACGTTTGCGTCACGCGCAACGATGGCAGTTTGCCAGGACTAGTCCATCTATTTTTTGAAAAGAGGAGGGGGGAGACGAAATTTGTTTTCATGTATGCTGTCTGAAAGGCACTGTAAGCGTGAACAATCAATCAAGAAGTGAAATGATTTATCAAATCTTTCCAATGATTGCTAAGATAGAATCCATCTTCTCGGTTGAAATTGTCTCTGTGTTTGTATATGTGGATAGCCTCATGAACGAATCTCTCATGGAAGCCAGATGGCTTACAAAGAACCTCCGTCTTGGAAAAGTCAATGGCATGTGAGCCTACTGAATTAGAACAATGATCTGCTACGGCCGAGGTGTTGGTCCTACCGTGTTTAAGGTCTGCTTTATGTTCACGAATGCGGTCCGAGATATGGCGTTTGGTTTCTCCAATGTAACTACTACCACAGAGGCAACTTAGTTTGTAGACACCAGGGTATTGTATGTCCGGAATCACATCTTTTACAGACGGAACCAGATCACGGATTTTATGTAATGTGTTGAAACGGACCTGGATCTTGTGTTTATTCAAGATTTTGGAGATCTTTTTTGTGATCCCAGCAATGTAGGGTAAAGTGATGGTTTTGAAAGGCTCCTCAAGAGGGTTCTTCTTCATGGTTTGAGTGATAGCTTTGCGGATTGTATAGTCGGAGTAACCATTAGCCCTAAGAGCTTGGTGTACGTGCTTGAGTTCACTGCTTATGTGTTCCTGGTCGGATATGCATTGGGCTCTATGATACAGAGTCTTGATGAGAGAATTCTTCTGTGATGGATGGTGGTGGGAATCCGGTTTCAGATAAGCATCCGTATGGGTAGCTTTCCTGTAGACAGAGTGGCTCATTGAACCATCAGGTCTCTTTTTAATTAGGACATCCAAAAAAGGTATCTTGCCATCTATTTCGACTTCCATGGTAAATCTGATGGCTGGGTGTATGGAATTGATGTGGTCGAAGAATTTGTCTAGAGCAGGCCGGCCATGTGGCCAGATGACAAAAGTGTCATCCACGTACCTCTTCCATAAGGTTGGGCGCAGAGTGGCAGTCTGGATGGCGTCAGTCTCAAATTTCTCCATGAAAATGTTAGCTATAACTGGAGAAAGGGGGGAGCCCATTGGGGTGCCCTCAGTTTGTTTGTAGAAAGTTCCATTCCAAGTGAAGTATGTATTGGTTAAACAGTGTCTCACCAGGGGGGGTACCTCAGTGTTTAGTCCTTGATGAACCAAGTCTTCAATGATTGCAATGGTGTCAGGTACAGGAACCTTGGTGAATAAGGAAACTACATCAAAACTGACAAGCAGGTCGTCTGGGGACAGGGAAATACCCTTGATTGTTGATACCAGGTGAGTAGAATTTTGTACCGCAGAGGTGGTCTTTCCAGTGAAAGGACGCAGGATTTCAGACAAAAAACGAGCTAGTTTGTAGGTGGGGGAGCTGATAGTAGAGACTATGGGACGAAGAGGTGTATCAACTTTATGTATTTTTGGTAAGCCGTATAATCTTGGTGGCCTGGCAGCAGAAGGTTTCAACGAAAACTGTTTAGATTGATCAATTAATGCGGTTGAATCAGAAATTATTTTGTTGGTTTGTGTGACGAGGCTGTTGGTGGGATCTCTTTTTATTTTTGTATAACTACCATCGTCGAGTAATTCTTTAATTTTGTTGTTGTATTCTATTTTATCCATGATAACAGTAGCATTGCCTTTGTCAGCTGAGAGAACTACAATATCATTCCTCTTTTTTAATTTATATAATTCAAAACGCTCATCTTTGCTGAGGTTGCTAGCTGGCATCTTAGCGTTTTTGAGGGTTGCAGCGATTTCAGATCTTGCTACGTCTGCAGCGATGTGACCCAGGCCCCTGAGAGCAACGTCTACTTGGGCAATTATATCATTAACTGGTATGTGTTTAGGTGTGACTGCAAAGTTTAGACCTTTAGCTAAAACGGATTTCAGACCATCGGAAATAGAACTGTTACTGCGATTAATTACGACTTTATTAACGTCTAACTTTTTGGTGTGTGGGTCCGGTCTTTTGTTTAAGAGGAGGTTAAATTTGGAAATCAGGTTTTCCTTACATTTGGTCGACATAGTAGCAGCTGAAGAGGCAGTCATATTGTCTACATGTTCCCAATCCGATGTGGACATTATTGCCGTCAATGATAAGTGTGATTTGTAGAGTGTCTTGTCTAACTGATCTAGTTCTGTGCGTATAAGTCTGATTTTTTCTGAGATAAGAGCTAAGCTAGTTTTGAAAAGAATTCGTTTCGCATTAGAAGAAGTTACAGTAGCAGAGGTGAGTGTAAATGCGATTGGTATTACCCCAGAGTCGCGGCATCTCTTCAGGAAGGTGAGAGACTCGATCAGCTGAGCTTTCTTATCCCGGAGTTTGTTGAAAGATCTTAAAGTTATGTGAAAACCCTCCCCGTAGAGGCGATTAAATTTTGATTTAAAGCTTTCGTGACTGCAGTAATTCATATTCTTAGTTTTTTCGGTAAAGTCACGTTGAAGAGAAACAACAAAATAACAAAATATATATAAAACAATAAAAAATTCTCACGACGTTTCGACCATAACTCAAACGGTCATCATCAGGTGTGTCGGTTTGCATAAATTTATTTTGAAAACGGCATATTTATTTATATATATATAAAAATAACGTTTGCGTCACGCGCAACGATGGCAGTTTGCCAGGACTAGTCCATCTATTTTTTGAATTTTTTATTGTTTTATATATATTTTGTTATTTTGTTGTTTCTCTTCAACGTGACTTTACCGAAAAAACTAAGAATATAGGTTTCAGTTTTGTTGCCAGAAAAAAGGGGAAAACCCCTATTATTATTATTATATCATGAGCAGTATAGCAACGACGTTTTAATTTACGCTAATATGAATTCTTTGTTTATGCCACGACATACAACATTTTCAAAAATACCATTTTCCAAGATGATCCTATCTAAATACAACACGCACGTAACACGATACAAGCGTGCCTTATTTTCACAATTTACGAAGCGTTTTTAGACTGTTTCCATTCGCGGGGAATAAAAAATATCTCGCGTCTGCGTCATCGCAGAGCAGTTCTTTGTTGTTGGTTCATCACCGATGTTTGTTCCGTATCTACCTGTCGAGTTGGAAAGCGGTAGCTCAGCGGTTAGCGTGGCGTGCTACGAAACCCGACACCCCGAGTTCGACTCCCACTCACGGCCAACACAAGTGACGATTATCTGAACCGATCCTGGGCCTCCGCTAGGTCGACTCAGCCTCAAACGAGTACCTGCTATTGTGTGTAAACATCAGCAAATGGGGAGACAAAGGCGGCCGGGCGTGGTGCTGGCCACCCACCCCCTTCGTGTGCCGTGCCGGCCTTCATAGGTGCTCGCAAACAGCACTTTCCCCACCAGTCTGTTAAGACTATACGGGGGACCTTTGTCTTTGTGAAGTTCGTGAAGAGATTGTCGGGGCAGCGTCCAGCCCTGAGAGACTGGGGCCTCGAGACGATCTCCTTCTCGGCCTCGTGTGACCAGCTGAGCCTCGGTAAGTGCTCCCATGCACGGTGACTCAATACGCAACCATCATCGTCACCATCGGCCATGGTCAATCCACTGCTGCATGACGGCCTCCCCAAATCCGCTGGCACCACCTCTCACGATCCCGCGATTTAATAATCCGCCCAGCACCTGCACACGAATTTATTTCGTCGCTCCGTCTCCACGGAGGTGGTCCTCGAGGGTGGGATTTTTGTCCCTTGGCTGCCACTCTGTTATTACTCCGGACCATAGGCCATCGTCTACTGGGCATCTGTGAACTACTAGACATCTGTGAGGTAGAGCTTAATAGCTTATCGGATTCATCCAGTATAAATACAAATTCTGATTCGGATGATCACTTCCAGCCGTGACGAGTCCTGCGCAAGCCCACCGACTTTTCTCATACTTCGACGATGCCGTTAACCCGCGCATGGTCTCCAATCCGCGCGTTAACTCAAAACAAGCTCTCGCCTCACGCCACCGCCGCTGAATCGCCCCGTTTGTCGCGTACCCGAAAGCCTCCCTGTGAACCGACGTGGTCCAATTTCTCGTACTGCACCCATTCATCGGATTGTGTGAGGAGGACTTCGTTGGCGAGTTAACAAAGGAGGATAAACGTGGAATAGCCAGACCCAGTGGGGTACAGGAGTTTGGGTTTATGAAGGCCGCTGCTGTACTGTAAAAGTCCAATACTCATGGCCATGGGTATCGTTTCACTCGTAAAAAGCCAATACATAATATCGTTAAAAATATCATTCAAATACAAATGTCGATGCCCAAGACTTTTATAATTACCATGCACACATAAGACACAATTTTGCGCTTTGCTCTACATAACCAACTATTGGTCATACCAATAAAAAAAAACCACTTGGGAACAGATTCGCGTCTCGCGGAATGTCCGTGTTCGTGAGACCGTTCAACGAATGTTCGCCGCCGATGTCTCCCTCACACACCAACAGCAGAGCACATCACCATGACGACATGCTCATTTCAGCAGGAATGGAATCTGTGGCTCTTGGTCTTTAAAAGAGTGGCGTAGCGTGGTTTTGGCCTGTGGTCTGGTGCAATAAATGAGAGTGATTCCCCACTCTACAATTCCCCTAAACCCCCCCCACCACCCCCAAAAGGGGCCCTAAACGCCATGGGCTATGGAAGGGAGGTACCTTCCATGGTCCCTGGCTAATGATTCTCTATGACCGTTGGGACCCGGTGCAGTTGCACCGCCTGCACACTTGATAGTTGCCGCTCCACTGCCTCTATGACGACAACAGCCGCCGTTTGCCACCGCGAGGCGGTGATGTCACCACGGCAGTTGTGCCCCAGGCTAGGTGCACCTAGAGGCCACGTGAAGTGTCAAAAGGCTCGCTGGCACGAGGTCACGTGAACACGCCCGGTTGACTCAGGTGACTGGCAGATGCACCACCTGTGTTCTCCCAATTGTACCAACAGTTGGCATTGATTCTATACACTACACACACACTATCTACAGTAGCATACCACGGTTGGCATGGGCCCTGGTATAATTTATAAAATGGGGGCCCTGTCCTATTGTGCCGCCCCCACCACTCACCTCACCCCACTTCTTAGCCCTGGCGCATGGGCCCCTATGTCCTGCGGGCCCAGGGGCAGTTGCATCGCCTGCACACTCAACAGCTATGCCCCTGTCTTACGGTGGATGTTGATGGCTGATTACTGTGCGACTGTCCTCCCATGTGCCGCTGCGCGTGGCAGGAAACCTCTGGTACCTGCTTGTGGCTTGGGCCACTCATTTGACCCTCTTTGGCATTTTGCTGAAGGACTTTCTGCCTCACGTCACCTCCAGCTTTCCGCTCGCCCACAGCCAAGGTACACCGAATAATCGAGCAGCGCAGGAGGTGTTTGTTTTTGTGTTCGTTTAAAGATCTTTACGGGCCGATAACTTCAAACGACGATGCCAAACTGGTTGGATTTGTTACGAGACTGCTTCAAGTTAGTTTTCCTTATCTCCGTGTTATGTCTCGGAGGAAACGACTACAAGCCAATTACGGTGAACAGTCGGCTGTATTTGAAAACAAAATACTTGTGTGTAAAGTAATACAGGTGTGTGGTGTTGAACGTAATTTGCTTCACCACCACCATCAATCATAGGCCACGATCAATCAACTGCTGGATGAAGGCCTCCCCCAATCTATCGCCATCTCTCACGATCCCGTCACGTGATGAGAATTTGTTTCAAATGCATCACTGGAGAAAATTATCCTGAACAATGTCAGAAGCCAAAGTGTCTAATGCTCACACGGTAAGTGTTTATTCCTGATAACATTCCTCAGCCAGCGGTCTCAATTACACATTTCTATGGCAGGGACATTACATTACAAGTGGAAAGTAAAACTATATTAAAAACGCTGGAAATTATCAAATAAATGTGAGATCACAGCGTCACTTATTATTGCAAAATACGTCTTAAAAACCAATAGCCTAAAATCTACAAATACAGGAAGCTCCTATAAAATGTTGACTCAGTGAAGTTTTTTTGGATAAATAAAGGTAATTTTTATACAAAAGCAAAGCAGGAACAAGAGTTATTTGAGAATTAGTGAAACGGCATGTCTTAGTACGTTTGACTCGTGCATAGAATAACTGTTATGATGATGATAATGTTGATGGTTCATTTTGACAATGGATGATGATGATTAGTGCTATGGGGATAACTGAGGATGATAACGACGACAATGATGAGAATTTAACATTAGGATGCTTGGCGAGTATGATTGAGGCTCATGATGATGATCATTTACGATGATTAACGATGCACTTTGCAATCGTCATCCGTCACCCAACGATCCATCATCTAAATCACCCGCCCACCATCCCTTCCACTCCCACGGCGTGCAGGCGTGGTGCTGTGCCTCTCCGCGTCGTTACTCGCGCTGCTGCTCTTCACGCTGCTCTCCTTCCTCTCCCTGGAGCTTGCCGTCGTGCGCGTGCCCCGCGCGGTGAGATCCTCCCAGCTCCCCGCCGGCCAGGCCGCCCCCCCGGGGCCGGCCCCCACGGGGTACCCCCCGGGGCTCGCCTGCGTACGGGGACGACGCCTGCTGGCCGTGGCGCTCTCGCTCCTGGGGCTCCAACGGCTGCCTCTGCACGCGCTCGCCGGGCTCGCTCTACTGCTGGCTCACACGTTCCTCTGCGTCGTCTCGCCTGCGGTCGACGGGGTGGTTTGTCCGCCCGGCGCCGCCGCCACCGCCGCCACCGACGCCGCCGTCCCGCTGAATGGTGAGCACCGGGACTGGTGGGCACCCGCGACTGTCGGGTTGTTCGGGGATGGATTCACTGGGTCGCAGATGAACCACGCGTGCACCATCTCCCGCATTTAATTCTGCAGCGTGGCTATTGGGTGTAAAAGAGGTGCGACTGCACAAGGGGGCCCCCAAGCCAGCAGGGCCTGTGTCCCAGACATCTCGCCACCGAGGGTGCCATGGTGGTGAGATGTTATCTCCCTTGCCTGGTGTGCAGGAGGTCGTGGGTTGAATCTCGACCCTGACCCCTGCTGTATATTTGGAGTTTGGGTGTTCTCCCCGTGGTCACGTGGATTTTTCTCCGTGTTTTAGATTAATTATTTGGCTGCTAGAAATGTCCACATGATATGCTACTGCTTTGAGCTATCATTTGTTGCATAGTTGCTTCTGAAAAAGCGCAAATACCTCAGTGGGCTTTACCTGGTAAACACAATAGTTTAGTGTTTCTTTTTAAAAGAGACAAGGGGAAATTGGACAGAGCCCCCCCCCCCCCCCCCATTTTATTCCTTCCACCAGGGCCCATGCCACCGATAACATCATCATGAAATGTTGCAATTCACGCGGGGCTTCAACGAGCCACATCGCTGGCGATCAATAGTGAAAATTCGTACTTGTTCCGCCGTGCAGGTTCCCAGGCGGGTGCTTCCGCCAACCACACGGACGGCGCTGGAGCCGAACCGGCGGGCCACATTGTGCCGATGGCGTGGGCGGAAATCGGAGGCGTGGATCCGCACCTCGACCCGGCCGCCAAACTCTGCCTGCTCTGCATCAACTACCTCGCCCCACTGCTGTTCCACGCGACGCGGGAGGCCCGGCCGCTGTGGAGCAAACATCGCGGCGCGAGCTTCGCCTACTGCGCGTTCCTCACGCTCACGGGCCTGAGCCGCCTCGCCTCCTACGCCGGCTTCCACGCGCTCTACTTGGCCGCCGCGTCCGGCGCATCCGCGACGGCGCGCGGCCCAGCTCCCTGGCCACGTCTCATGCTGCGCCACACCCAGGCGGTTTTGTCGTTCTACGCGGCCGGGTTGCTGCTGTCGCTGGGGGCGACGCTCGGCGTGAAGGCGATCGCGTACCGCGCGCACGGAGCCAGCTCGGAGGGCGTGCGGCCCCCCTCCGCGGGCCCCGTCTCGTGCCAGCGCGCCACTCCCGCCTCCCGCTGCCGCTCGAGGCCGCGCGCGTCCCTCGTGGCGACCGGCTCCCTGACCCTCGCCGCGGTGGCCGCCAAGCTCACCGTCGCGGCGGACGCGTGGTCGCTGAGCTCGCGGCCCGCGACCCCCGGGCGGCCCGGCGGCCTCCCGCTGGCGGTCGCGGCGTGCGGAGAGGCGGCGTCCTGCCTGCTGTGCCTGGCGGCGTGCCTGGCGGCGTGCCTGCACCAGCTGAGCAGCGGGAGGCGGTGGGAGCGGCGCCACCGTCGGCTGTCGGGGTCGCCGCTCAGCGACGTGCCCAGCACCAGCATCATCTACAAGCCGGCGGCGCTAGCAGCACACATCTCTTACACCCCCACCGGCGCGATCGCGAGGACGTTCGCCTACTGAGAAAGAGACGCTTCGCTCGGTGTGCCCGACCCAAAATAAATCGACCGACTGATTGTTTACACCTGACCGCAAACACAACGTGCGCTGTATGTTTTATGACTGTAATAATTCGTGGTTGCATTATTTCCCCATTTTTCTCTGTTTGTATGTATGTTGAACTTCTTTTGCACCGTATGTAGCCAACCTTGCTAATCGGAGTTGCGGGGAAGGACAAGAAGCTAAATACAAAAAGCAGTTCTAACGAAATGAGTTTTCAATCTGGATGAAGGAAAATGTAAGAAGAGGTTTTACCCTTCCTGGCAATAAAACAGAAGGTGTTAAGATGTTCAAACACCAAATAGAAACCTTTTGCTCTCAGAAGTTGCCACGTTCGACTCCTTCACCCCGATGCTCAACAGCTGATCAATACAGACACGCTTTTCACGCAACCATTTGCATTATCGGTGTTTTTTTCACTTTTTGTCTAGAATCCTCATAACCCCAAGATAATCTAGATTTGTCTGTACGTTTGTTTTTTTGCGCTATGGAGTCCGTCCAGTGCTGCGGCGACACTCGTGTTGTCGTGGCCCTGTTATCGACCCAGCCGCAGCGTCCATTCAGACACCCGGATCAAACGCCAAAGATCTGCAATCATGAACGTTCATCATTAGACCCCCTTTGCCAGTACCAAAATGTAATAATAGGGTTTTTTCCCCTTTTTTCTGTCAACAAAACTGAAACCTTTTTTGACGAGGATTCATGTCTGCATTAACCACAATACCTGCAGTCAAAATGCAAAAAAACACATACTATGATAATTGGTGCTCGACCAGATGACGCCTCTTCTTTGGTTCTTTCGGTAAAGTCACGTCAAAAGAAAGCCGTCCCTTGGTGTGGACCAATCAGTTTCAAGGACAATGCATATATTATCATAGTATGTTTTTTTTTTGCATTTTGACTGCAGGTATTGTGGTAAATGCAGACATGAATCCTTGTAAAAAGGTTTACATTTTCAACCTTTAAACTTTCAAATGTTACAATAATAACGAGTACATTTGGCGTTGGCACCATTCGTATCGGCAGTATCGCGAAGTACATAGTCGGCCCGTAAGATGGCGATGTTGCGATGACGTTTTACCAAATTAAGTTATTTGTGAATAATTAATAAAATTTATAAAACTCGGACCGTGCCGACCGGCATACATCGCGGTTTCATCAGGAGATAGTAACTCATAACGGGCGGTAGTTTCGGAATCATAGTAGAAATATACACAAACAGTGATTCATAGACACGTGTGATTTTGACCAATAGATCGGCCCTCCCATCATGCCTTGCACGTCACAGGACATTGGCAGCCGAGTTTCAGACCACCAACTCAAACGAGACACAATTGCGGCCACATTTCTTCAAGGCGGCAGCTGCAGCAGGACAATGAGGCAACCGAATACTGTTTCACTTTGGTTGGGAATCATCAGTACACGATAGCCATCAATGGGTAGTTTGCTAGGCCCACTTGGCCACAGTGTAAGCTACGTCTATGGTAAATGCTCACGGCCCCAGCAAAATGTAATCTGAACCCTCGACAGCCACACACGTGCACAAATAGGCTGGGCTATAAGAACACCATTCAGCACAATGCACATACCATCATCGGACGTTTGTTTACTGGAATAGGTTTACTTCAATAGTTTAATGGCTTGAGGCGACTGTTGACAAATTCTTTTGTTGACAAAACTACCCTTTTCGTGTTCCAGTACTTACTCGAGAAATGGCCCATACTTCAGTTTCAATAGAATCCAGACACATTCCTGGGATGGTTTCCATTTTAAGCTTTTTCTCCCTCTCCCGCATGCCTGGTCCCGCTATTATTTTTATTTTTTTTCGAAAAAATCGTGCGCTACCAAGTAATGAGGTGCCGAGAGATTTAGCAGCTTTTAAGTTTAAATTTCAAACCATCGGCTGTTGTAGTGGTGGTGGTGTTAAAGGTTTTAAGTGCACAAATGTTACCTTTTTCCCCCCCTCCACTTTAATTCGTCAACGTTGACTGCATCGGTGGAATACATTGACATATCATCAACCCTGATCAATCCACTGCTGGATGAAGGCCTCCCCGAAGCTGTCGCTATGCCTCGTGTTCCTGCTAAAGTATTGGCCCTCGTGTGACCGGGTTATTGCTCATTTTCACGAGGATTTGATTAATCGCAACCAGCACTGACCGTGTGGTGAAGTATGGCTAGACAACCTCCTCCCCACCGTAATTGATGTGGTGTGGGAAAGACTACATCCAGCAGTGGATTGGCAAAGTGGTGTCAATATCTTTAGTTACCCCCCCCATCCCCCCATTGTCATTGATGTAAAGCTCCTTGATATGTTATGAAAGGCGCTTGATAAGCTATAATAATTATGATTGTCTGCAGAATGTAATACAGACGTGACCTCGAAGCAAGCAATAGCTGCTGGTGTGTAACGCTGTCATGTTAACGTGTAAACACAAAATGTTTGTGATCAAATGAATTTTCTTTTTTCTATTCCGTTCATTCGTGTTATTGAAAATGTGTATCCGGGCTTGTTCGGAATTCTGGCTTCGAGAGAATGTTTACCGGATTGACGATATCATAGGAAAACGTGATGGGGAAAAAAAGGAAATGGCGTGATTTTGTTACATCGTTGACCGATGATGCATCAGTGAAACTTGTCACTCTGCAAGTGACACGTGCATGCAAACACGTGTCACTCTGCAAGTGACACGTGTATGCAAACACGTGATCATCCGTGCATTCATAGACCGTCACCCTTATGCAGGTGTGCATCCCCTGTGTCCGTGTGTATGTGCCTGTGTGGACAGCACTTGCCCCTACAGTCACATATGTCTGTAGGGGACCTTCTTAGCCTTTGCATGTATTGTGCGTGTATATGTGTGTGCCTGTATGTTTACGTGGCTGTGTGCCTGTATGTGTGAATACAAGTTCCTGGATATGTGTGTGTGCATGTTACAGTATGTGTGTGTGTGCGTTATATATGTGCACGTGCATGTATGTGTGTTTGTGCATCTCTACATGTGCCTCTTTGTGTATGGGCGTATGTACCTACCTGTATCTGTATATATATGTGTGTGTGTACCTGTATGTGTACGGCCCTCTGTGCATGTGCATATACACATGCCTGCATGTACACACCCGCATGTATATGTGTGTATGTACGTGTGTGTATGCCTATCTGGTGCTGGCCAACCACCCCCTCGTGTACCGTGCCGGCCTTCATAGGTGCTCGCTAACAGCACTTGCCCCTACAGTCTGTCAAGGCTATATGGGGGATCTTTATCTTTATCTGTACGTGCCTGTATATATTTGTGTAGGCATATGTACCTGTGCATGTGCATATAGCTGCTCGCCAACAACACTTGCCCCGCCAGTCTGTGCAGTGTACACGGCAGGCATGGGTGTGGATCTTTGTCTGGGCCTGTGTGTGCGCGTGCTTCACTGCTCCCGTACGGAAATGGGTCCTTGGCCCCACGTTCCGCCCGAAGTGAAAACAAGCGGGTAAGGCGATTCCTCTAGGTCTCGCTCCCCTGCTGACTTGCTTACACCCCATCCCTCCCTCGCACCCCATCCCATCCCCTCTCCACCGCCACCTCCCTTCACCCTCCACCGCGGCCACAGTCTTCTCGCCACGGGCCGCTGGAGGCCGCTGACAAACGCGTGCCAAAACAAGGCGCCTCCATGAGCCCCGCACCTGCACACAACATCAAGCAGCCGCGGCCGCGTGCGAGCGGCAGCAGGGATCATGGTCAAGCTAACTTCTGCCCGAACTTCCGTTACCCCCCCCTCCACCACCACCACCACCCTCCCACCCGCCCGCCCTCCCAGGAGTATGCCAGCCAGCCGGCCGGTCTCTAATATATCAGCAGCAGCAGCAGCATAGCCAGCCATGTTCAATCCACTGCTGGATGAAGTTCTCCCCAAAGCCAACGACCTCTCCCGCCGCCACTACGCGATGTTATGATTGCACCTCGCAAGCTGCCCATGAGCTGCTTTCAGTGCAGCGCCATCCGAGTGGACGTCTTCTCGGGCTCGTTCCATTCCAAGGCTGCCACTTCGTTGTTCTGCTTGACCATCGGTCATCGTGCCGTCTAGCCATCACGCGTCCTGTCCAAGCCCCCTGTCGCTTCTCAACAGATCGAGCGATGTCATGAAACCGTGGAGTGTATAATTGTAAATGTTGTGGAGTTACTCTCCAACACACCGGTGGGCTCAAGTAGTAAACTAACTGGCACGTTTTGTTTACGTGACAAACATTACTGGCTGTGTCGGGTGATGGAGGGTTACACCACATAGTTACACGATCTAACTAAAATATTCTTTATTATTAATAATATTAGTCGCGAAACCCTACGTGTTAGACTGTATATTCTCTGTATATTCATCTGACTCTCCTTTTTGGCTCCTCGGTGTAATTGCGAGGATGCATCACCCCGTGCTTCTTTGCACACTTTTCAGATCATGGTTTTGTCAATGATCACGTTTCTGGGCCATATGTCGTAGCGGATAGCTGTCTCCTGTAGGCACACTTCTACACTACTTTTAATGATCACGTTGAGCTGTCCCAACACAACTCCAAACTGCTCTCGTCCGCCTCTTCATTTAATTCGTTTGATCAAGCCACTACTAGAGGGAAGTGATTTAACCATGCTTCACTGCGCAGATCAGTGCGCGTTGGTGAACGGGGGTGGTCATCGCGTTATCGGTTAATTCGTGTAACGGTTCCGGAAAAGCCACCCACGGTGGTAACCCACCGCAGTCTGATTTGGGCAAAACGTTACTGGAGCAGATAGTCATTCCGGGCTGTGTCCCAAAAAAAAACGAGGCCGAGCCAGACCCAGACGATATTGGATTCATGACGCAGCTGCTCGGGCCAGGGCTCACTGTGGGACCAGGCTCACGGAGAGCACCCTTGTGCGTGTGTGTGTATCCTCGGAGAGGGGAGTGGTAGTGTAGCGGTTAGCGCGCTGCGCTACGAACCTCGTGACCTGGGTTCGATTCCCACTCACGGCCAACACCGGTGACGATTATCTGAACCGGTCCTGGGCCTCCCCTAGGTCGACTCAGCCTCACATGAGTACCTGGTGCGTGGTGTTGGCCACCCACCCCCTCGTGTGCCGTGCCGGCTTTTATAGGTGCTCTTTAACAGCACTTTCCCCTACGGGGGATCTTTGTATTTGCCTTTATTCTCGGATCGACGAAGGTTCGAAAGGAAGGGAGTTCAAATTAACCGTGTAACTTATACACAGCTTACCGATTACTTTGAGTTAGACACTGACTTTAAACGTCATAAAATGACATTCTTTTAAAATAAATTACATTCATGCATTAGCTCTGTCCGTCTGCTCACCTCTAACCTGGGGCCACTAAAACTCTCCTAAAGTTGTTGGGAACTTAGCCTCTTGAAAGTCGAAAAAAATTGGTTAAAAAAGAGGGTGGTGCAAACTTTGAAGACATAAACCACAGCAAAAAAAA